CTTTTTTTGGGGGGGGGGGTTTCTCATATTTTTTTTCTTCCCCTCAATAATAAGCTAATTGCTAATGCTGTGTAAGTCAGAGACAATACATTCAACTAACCTAACAAGGCAGTAAAACTATGGTGAACAAAAGCTGATTAGAATTTGACATGGAATCATTTTTAATCTAAAAATGTTTCCAACATAGATTTCTGTTTTTAAATGGTAAATGGACTGATTCTTATGTAGCACTTTTCTACTCTCCCGGAGTGCTCAAAGCGCTCTATACAACATGCCACATTCACCCAATCACACCAATTCTCACAAGCACTGTCTCTGTACTTTCTTTCTAACTACTTGTGATACAGTGTCTGAAAGCTACCAGCAAAGATCAAAACTGTTTTATTGTACCAGGCTGTAAACGGGACTGTATGGGGAATTGTCTCAGAATTTAAAACAAGCTTCAAGTGCTGATTAGAGGAAATGCAGTTTCTGTTTTCACCTGTGAAAATTATGACTTGAAATCTAGCTAATGAAAAAATGTCAACTTTTGTTTTGACAGCTACATGACAACCAGTTGAGTAGTTTACCCAGTGCTTTGGGAGAACTGCAGAATCTTCAACAGCTGCGACTCAGGTACACACACACACACACACACACACACACACACACACACACACACACACACACACACACACACCATAAGTCCATAATCCTAATGGAAAAGAGAAACTGTTACAATACTGTGCAACAGCCACCCCAGTTTGTTTACATTTAGCCAGGAAAATAGATGTAGCGGTTTATTGAAATGTGCAGATACACATGGAAATACAGTATGTAAGGCAAAACCAGAGTTTGTACAATTCTAATGTGTTTGAAAGTCAGTATGTGGTATGACCACCTTTTATTTTACAGCCCAGCCTGAACTCTGGTACTCAACCACAGTCTGGACTATGGTTCAGTGGGTTAGCGCAAAAGCAATCTACCTGTAGAGTGTGTTTGTCGCTGGAGGCCGTGTACAGACTATGCAGTATACCCGGTCTGCTGGCCAGTCTTGTGTCCACTGGAGCCACAGAGGGAGTGTGTAATCGGTTCTGTTAGTTTGTCCACAGTCCAGTTTCCAAGATGTCAGCTTCAAATTCTCTGTGATGGTAGATAACAGCTCAAGCTCATTTAGTTTTGGTGAAAATCAGGTTAGGTTGCACCAAATATGAAAATCAGTAAAAACTTTCATTACCCACAATTAGTTATGTATTGTTTTCAAACTTCACAGTAGCAGACTAGGCCTTGGGTAACAGGAATACCTAGGTTGGCTAAGGCGAACTAAAAGACATTTAAAGAAACCATATCAAGTTATATGTCGTATGAAAGTGCAGGAAAGAGCTGTACACTTTATTTTTTCAAGATGATGCCCCACAATGTCACAATAAATCTTAAACTCAAGTTTGTACAGCTTATGGAAGCCAAAGATTTCAGCCACGTCTGCTTCAATCTTATGGGTAAAGCTAAAATACACCATTTTATGATGTAATCCTTCAAGGTCAAAGGTCAGGGTCACACAAGTTAAGAAAAAGCTTTAGTTTCTGTTGGATCAACTTCAAACTTCAAAACAATATATTAGTCATTGGAGAACAAAACATGGTTTTCTTTGTTTGAGCTCTTTAATGTTTAGTTTAACTCTTCATTATCATACGTACAACAGTACAATGAAACTGTAGCACTGTAGGCGCTAAAAGAGAGACGAGCAAAGCAGTAAATGAAGACTATAAATACAGGATTTGCTGGAGCTATCACTTATTTTAGTAATAGAGTGTCCTACTGATTATTCCACCAGTTCATTGCATAAGAAATACTTGTACCTTATTAATGAGCAATAATAAATATTCAAAAGAGAAGACACTGCAGGTCTTTCATAAATGAGGTCTTCATTGATTTCTATTTTAGAAATTGCAATACTTTAATAATAAGTGCATTAAACATCTGTCAAAAGACAAATGTAGTATTTACATGCATTTAAGTGTGCAAGTGAAAGAGAGGGCTTGTGTCTGCAGTCCTTTAAAAGCATGCGGTGGTTGCAGTGAAGAAAAGTGAGCATATCAGCATTCTGAGGTTGGCAATAACTAGTGATCTGTTGTGTTTTTGTTCTGTGTGGCCAGTCATAATCAGTTAGACTCTCTGCCAGTTGAGATGTGTACTCTAAAGAACCTCCGTAGCCTCACACTGCAGCAGAATCTGCTGGAAAACCTGCCAGAGGATCTGGGACAGCTCGCGAACCTCACAGAGCTGGTAACTAATGCATAATGCATGCACTCTAGTGTCTCTCTGCTGTATTGGAAATGCATTGATAATCCATTTATTTCCCAATTAAAACAAATTGGAATGAAAGACTGAAATGGAATGATGGTCAATTTCTGTCCATCCTGTTGAACGATTAAAGGACGCATCCAGCAACCAGCTGAAGAGCCTGCCCTCCAGTTTCGGGTGTCTCGTCAGTTTACAGAAAGTGAACCTGTGTCACAACCAGCTTAGCGGTCTCCCAGACAGCCTAGCCCGGCTCACAAGTAAGAGTTGCAGAAGTGCTTACAAATAAGTTGTGAATGAGAAAGCGTTTGTTCCGGCGTAACAAATTATTCCATCCATTTATTTTCTTCAAAAGCAGCTCGCTGGTTGGCGACCACACCGAATAGATGTTTATAAAAAGAATAAAATAATATAGATTTGACATAAAATATGCACTAAAGTATAGACATCTATGTATGCATATGACCACAGCCTTATAATTAATAGTCTGATAGACATCAAGATGACCAGAAACAGACGAGGATCAGGAGAAAAAACAGCCACCGGTGACAAATGTATTTGTGGTTTGAGGAGAAACGGTACAGAACTGGGCAGGTGTTTTGTTTAGTGAAAGACCATAGCTATTGTTAGCTAATGTTGTTTTATTAAATAATAACATAACTCTGTGCATATTCAGATATAACAGAATTGATTTTGTTTACTGTTGGAGAATTGGTGCTTATCTAAAAGATGAGGATCAGCTGCTATAAAGCAAATGACAGATGAGACAGAGCAACAGGCTAAAGCTAAGCTACCAATTATAGCTACACTAACATTATAGCAACTCCATCCATTCATTCGCTTCTGCTTATCCTTTTCAGGGTCAGGTGGGGGTGCTGGAGCCTACCCCAGCTGTCTTAGGGCGAGAGGCAGGGTACACCCTGGACAGGTCGCCAGTCTGTCGCAGGAACAACCATTAGCGCTCACATTCACTCCCGCATTCACACCTATGGGCAATTTAGTGTTTCCAATTAACCTATCCCCACAAACTATTAACTATTATAGCAACTCGTTTAAAGTTAATATTAAAAGCGTATATGAACAGGACAGTTTGCATTTTTCATTTAGCTGAATTTAGCTGATATTTGCTCCCACCGGCGCTCATATTAGAAAGTACAAGCAAGTGAATAGAGGGAGTGTGACAGAGGGTAATGTTTGATGCTCACATTTACACCTGTGGCAGACTTCGATGTTTAGATCAGTTGCATTAAAAAAAACCCAACAACAATAGTTCATGCAGAGCCTTTCTTTTGTTTTAAATTTCATTGTCCTCCTGAAAAATAAACGATGGCCCCAATGCTGATTTTTGCGGTCGTGCCGGTCATTGTAGTTTTGGATTTTGAATGAATATCCAGCAAAGCTGCAACAGCATCATGGCTCCTCCTCTTGTTTCCTTCTTGTAAATTCACTGGAATTTTATTTGTTTGTTTGGGGTTCTTTTACCCCTCAGGTAGAACAATGGTGCAGTAATCAGCACGGACACCTTATAGCAAGATTCTGTGTTTAAATCTTTGTATTTATTTCTGGATAACACAATAGTGTCATTTTATGTCTGCCATAATGTTCCACACAACAGAAAATATTAATATAAGACAAACTCGTGAATGAATAGGTCTGAGTAGAACAGCTTGAGCTGTATTTTGGGCAGCTCTCTCTGTATTTCTATGTTTACTACAAGCTGGCCAATAATTCCCCAAGATGTGGGTGGAGGGACAACAAGTTATTTCTTTGACATACACTAAGGCCCTGTAATAAGATGGGCATGTCAGCAGCTGAAAGTTGTGTTACTTTTTCTGGCTTTTTTGAACTCTGGTTTAATTTGGCAGATGTTAAGCTGCTGGACTGCAGTGACAATCAGCTGACTGAGATTCCTGAAAGCCTATCGGAGATGCTCGCTCTGGAGCAGCTTTACCTTAGACATAACAAGCTCCGCTTCCTCCCAAAGCTCCCCGCACCTGCGCTCAAGGTATTAACAGCAAAATGATGTTCCAAGAATGAAAACTCCTTTGTGGTGTGAGCGAAGCTGACGGTATTAGAGCAATGACCAAATCGCTCTGCGCTCTGTATTGTGTCTGAGACATGCTTCTGTGCATCCATTACTCTGG